TTTCCCTTTAATAAAAAAATTTTCAAAAAAAGCTAAGCTTCTAGTGTACTTTTATCTCTCAAAATAAATTCTCATTTACTACTAACGAAGTAAAAATATACTTCATCCGTTATTGAGTATTTGTCCACTTTTTATCTTTTCTGATCAAAATTATATTGGTAAGTTTGATCTCAAATTAAATAAAAATGATTTTAGATATTTATACAAAAATAGTTTTATTAGATTTATTATATCAAATATTTTCAAAATATTATTTTATCTAATTAATACATAATATATATTTTATTTAATTATAAATCAAATGTTAAAAAAGTTGATCGAAAAAAATCAAAACTGGATAAATATTTAAGAACCAATGTTGTACTATCTTTTTTTACCTTGTACTCCCTCCGTCCTAAAATTTTATTCTCATTTACTAATTCACTATTCACATTGTCAAAATTTAATTACTTTCCTGATGACCTATTTTCGTTAATTATTTGTTGAAATAATATAGAGTAAATTTCATAATTGTTCATTTGTTCCTTTATAACATGAGGCTTTTCATATTTAGTCCTCTATTACCAAATATTACTCCCGCGATTCTTCTTTTAGGGGTACCTTTCCACAAATGGTTTTTTTTAATTTTCTGTCATGTTGGTGTTAATTTAAAGGCTAAAAGTATCATTTGACATCAACCTTATGTCCAGTGACATATTCTGATATTGGTTAGACGAATAATAAAAAAAATAATTAATGATTATGATTGTAAGTTAGGATTATGGCGAAAGATCGCATCTGTAGCCTGTAGGCTATGATTGTAGCAGAAGTTGATTGTAATTCACAAACAATGCATCAAAGCGGTATTTGGAATCGTATATGACAAGAAAAATATATTATCATTGATGGGTAATAACCCATGGATACCGTCCGGTAGGTCCGACCGACTGGGAGGTACCGAATGTGATGCCGCCTGACCTATTCAACCCGGGCTGTCTGACCGGTCGGAATGAGTAGGTCGGGAGGCGAAGATGCAGCTGATATTCTCGAAGTCTGGTTAAGAAACCGGTCGGTGGACTGACCGGCTGGATAATCAGACATGTGCTTAACGTGCTTAGGATTATTATAAATACCCCTAAAAGCCTCATTTGTGAGGCATGCTTTAATTAACCTACACGGCCCTTCCGATTACTTATACTTAATATTTGCACGGTAATTTACACCATCAATCATTATGAAATTACATTTTTAGCCTTCAAATTAACACCAACATGATAGGAGATAAAAAACTTTATTTGTAGAAAGATACCCATAAAAAAAGGACCACCAGGGTAATATTTGGTAATAGAAGATTGAATGGGGAAACTCCTCTGTTATAAAGGAACAATTTTTAAATTACTCAATAATATAGTCATGTCACCTCTTATTTTGTAGAAATTTTGATATAGTTTTTGAATATATAATTTTTATTTTTAAATTTTACACCTATAATCAAATAAATTCAATTAAAAATAATTTTAGTAAAATCTCGTGAACCGAGCTAGAAATTAAGAAAGTTTCAAGACAGAGGGAGTATATTTTAATTCACTATGTTTTGACTTTGGGGTGTGATTGAATAAAGCAAAATGAATCTCGAAACTATTTGTGCTTTGTTAATCGATGAAGTAGCAGTTAGTCAATCAATGTAACTTTTGGTGCTGAGCTGGGAGTCTCTTTGGAAACATCCTCTCTACTTTCGAGTAGAAGTGATGTTTGCATTCATGCACGCGTCATATACCCTACACTTATGGGATTCAACTGGGTTGTTGTTGTTGCATTTGATTAAAATAATAATCAATACTCATATTTAAAAAGAGTTCTCCTCTCTCCGTCTCTTCTTGTTCTCCTCCCCGTTCCCAGCCAGGGTCTCTTGTACGACGGTCCCGTCCTCTGAAGCCGAGGTTCCCTCTTCCGCACCGTGAGATCCACTCATAACAACATATTCTTCAATTTTTTATATAATTATCATTTATATTAATCTGATTAAAAAGAGTTTTAAAAACTTTAATTTAAATGTGTAATCAATCTTTTACATTTATATTTTTGCATTTTTTGTTTTTCATTTATCACATGTACACATTAAACGACGTAGTTTAAAAAATTTGGTTTATTCAGTTGTACATAATGAAAACCAAATCCGTGCACTAAGGGTTGGGTACAGTTTTATTTTTTACAAAAATAAAAAGTGCATGTGAAAAAAATTAAATGCTAAATTAATTTTGATAACCATCGATATGCTGATTTTTAAATAAAATAATTTTAAAAAGTGAGATATTTCTCCTCGTAAACATCAATTTGTAATCAAAGTGGAGACGGAAAAACTATTATCCCGTAATTTATATCCAATAAGTACCCGATTTCGGATAGTTGAATAATGAAAAATTGATAATTGAATTGGGACCAAAAGAACAAATAATTAATGCTCCCTAGCTAGTACTACGAGACAGGATGATGAGATGTGGAAAATACTTTTATTTATTTATTTATTGTACGAATTCCCAAAACATATATTCATTCATTTCATTGGAGGATTAAAAGGTTTTGTAGTCTGCTTTCTAGGCTAATCAAAACACACGGTGTCCGTAATGAGTAAAAAGTGGAGTAAAAACTATTGGGATCCGATACCTGAAATTGATCCTCCTCTAACAAGGGAAAACAATTGTACCCCCAAATCTTGGAGACAAAGTGAGAGAAATTAAATTGAGTTATAATCTTATTTTCTTCAAAAGAGTGTAATCTCTGATACTTGTAATCATGGGTGGCGTGGAGAGTATGTAAAGTGGTCAACTGCACAAGATCTTTAAAATTTTAGGGTCCCATATTTTTAAATTTGTTTATAATTTTAAAGCATAAGTATTCTAAAAAATAACATAGGACCCAAAATGTAAATTTTGGACTGTGCCAATTTTATTTTTTCATTTTTCGGGACCGGCCCTGCTTGTAATTATTTCATGTATTGCAAGATCATCCTTGTAACATAAGTGATAGAATTTAGGATGGGATATGGACAACTGGATTGGGCAATAAGACACTTGAGTTGAACCACATTAAAAGATTAAATCCAATCGATTAGTTAGTTCAACTCTAGAGCCTATATACCGATTATTTTCTCTTGGATTTTCCGATGTGGGATGTACTCTAACACTCCCCCTTAAGTGGACAACCGGGCCATTTTGAATCTAACCAGTTGACCACTTGCAAATGAACTCCCATTCCCTTGACTTTTTTTTTTTTTTGAGCGCAAACACCTAAAGGACCACGAACCGCTGGGTATGGACTTCCAGACGTGCAATCGGGTCAAACAGGCCACGTGCCGTTGGGTACATACTCCATACGGACAACTGGGCTAAAGACAAACGGGCCGCTAGGAATGAACGTCTAGACGGACACCTTGACAAATGAGGTGGACCAAAATCTGCTCTGATACCATGATAGAATTTAGGATGGGATATGGACAACTGGATTGGGCAATAAGACACTTGGGTTGAACCACATTAAAAAATTGAATCCAATCGATTAGTTAGTTCAACTCTAGAGCCTATATACCGATTATTTTCTCTTGGATTTTCCGATGTGGGATGTACTCTAACAATAAGTATATGGTTTTGAAAGGAATGAGCATGTTACAAGCCTCTTTATCATGCCCACCTCACATGGTCAGCGTACGCATGGGCCAATGAAACAAGACTTCCATTCTTTGAAGAGGATTTTGTGTTACATTCAAGGAATTATCGGTCTAGAATTGATTTTCTAATGTGGGTCTCTAGCATTACGAGCATATTCAAATTCTAATTTGGAAAATGCCATGACGAATGAACTCTTTATGATTGCCTATCTCATTTATATTGGTCTTAATATCATCTCATGGAATACAAAAAATTGAGTCAAGTGTCTAAGTCCTCCACGGAACGGAGTACCAGGCTCTTTCCTATGCTGCACCGGTGGTAATGTAACTCTCTTATCTCTTAGCAGATTTGAAGGTTCATATGCCTCCTCCTCATATCTTATGTGATAATTGTTGGTTCCTTGGGTGTGTCTTAGCCTCTTTGTCATAGGTGTTGGCTTTATTTTTGACAAAAACCAGTATAGTTGTTTTTTAGTACTCAGTTTGTTCTAGCTATGTGTTTTATAGAGCTGTAGCATCCTGTCCGTCACACACACAGTCTTTGAACTTCTGGACTTCTTCAATTAAAGACAGACTGCGGCTCACCAAGCTGGAGAAGAACTCTATCAACAAAAGGTTACTGCAGTTCACGAAACTAAAGAAGATAAGTACGGTATCAGAAGGAAATAATAACAAGGACTCTACCCGATAAGCACAAAACTGGAGGTAGAGGTATATCAGGATTCTTCTAGGGTTGATCTCACCTTGCGAATATAAATAGAAGGGAGAACTGCCTGGTTTTTGTGTGAATTCAGAGAGAGCAAGAGAGAGAATATATTAAGAGAGAATCCTGAATTATTCATCAGCCAAGCATATCGAAGAACACAGATGNCGTTCCAGACGGTTGAACTGAGAAGAGCTGGAGCGTAGGCCAGGAACACGTCACAGATAAGTTGTTCAAAGTGTTTCAGTCTAAGTATCTCTGCATAAACCGAGTTTATTGCATCCCATTAAGTTGTTGAGTTTAGATCAATGGATAGACCGAGTCTGTTGTCATTGAGGGTGTAGACTCTGAATTGATTTAGTGGGAAGGCTGTTACACTGACGTGGGCCTCGCAGACGTAGGAGAAATTGCTCCGAACTGCGTAAACAATTTTGTGTGTCGTGTGCTGTTTGTTTTTGTTTCTTTCTATTTATTCAGCAGTTGGTGAAGCACTTTGTTTTACGGATTAATATTAGAAAGTGCTTCAGCAACCTCTGCAGCAACTTGTTCTGTTCTAGATTACTACAGGTCATACACTGAGGAAAGTGGAACTTTCAATTGGTATCAGAGCCATTAAAGCTTAAGATACTAGCTTTAAAGATCAGATATGGGAGACATGGAAGAAGGAGCGAATGTACAACGGCCACCACTGCTGAGAGGACCAAACTACAATTTCTGGAAGGGGCGCATGAAGGCATTCCTGAAATCACAAGGTGGAAGAGTCTGGAGAAGCGTAGAAACTGGCTGGCAGATTCCCACAAAGACAGTTGAAGGATCAGATGCAAAAATTCCCAAAACATTTGAGGAATACTCAAAGGAGGAAGCTGCAGCTGCTGAATGCAATGACAAAGCCTTAAATGCATAATTTGGAGCGGTGGACAGACAGCTCTCAATACAGACTCATTGCAAATTGTACTGAAGCTCAGAAGGCTTGGAAGATCCTTGAGACAACCCATGAAGGAGATGAGAGAGTCAAGACAGCAAAATACCAAATTCTCATGACAAAATTTGAAAATCTCAGAATGGAAGATAAGGAGAGTATCACTGAATTCCATGGCAGAGTGAGAGATTTGGCAAATGAAGCAGAACGCCTTGGAAGACCTTTTGAAGAAGACAATCTTGTTCTAAAGGTACTGCGCGCCCTGCCAGAAAGCTACTCTGTTGATGCCAAGGCCATACGTCAAGCACATGATCTGAAGAGGATGACGCTGGATCAACTAATGGGAAATCTTGAAACTATTGAATTGGCCATGTCAGAAGAACAAAATAAGAAGAAGACAGAGAAACAAATAGCATTTCAGGTGGGTGACTTAGATTCAGAAGATGATGTCATATCAGATGATGACTTTCAGGAGCAGCTCTCACTGTTTACCAAACAGTTTACAAAAAGGTGGCTTCAGAAAAAGGGTAAACAGGCACTTACACAAGATCCTCAGAGAAGTTCTCAAACCAGAATGATGAAGGAATTCAAGGCACAACCTTCAGAACCAAGGAGAAAAGGGCCACAGTGCTTTGAGTGTGGTGGGTTCGGTCACATTCAAACAGAATGTGCAAACAACATGAAAAAGAAAAGGCAGGCATTTGCCTCAACTTGGAGTGATGAAGAACCAGACACTGAAGACACTGATGAAGAAAGTAACTGTGCCTTTGTCACAGTGGAAGTACAAGAAGACTCTGAAGAGCAGCTAAAGATACTCCAAGAAAAATGGAGTGATCTGCTTGATATCAATAAGAAGAATGTGTCTAAAAATCTTCTATTAAAAACTAAACTGCAGATCTGCGAGCAAACTGTTGAGAAGTTGCAACATGAGCTGAGCCAAAAGGAAACCGAAAATGCCAATCTGAGACATGAACTCGATCATCATATGAAGTATCAGAAGTGGATAAATAAAGCAGGAGCAGGAAGTTCACAAGAATGGATGCTGAGCACAGAGGCAAAAGCCATTGAACATCAAGTTGACATCTCCAAGATGTATGGAGACAGAACTAGGCTGGGTTATCCAAAAGAAGAATCAACCAAAACACCATTAGATCTCTTCATCAAACGAAGTGATCGCAGGAAAGGGATAGACAGTCTGCCAGTCAAAGCTCCACAAACGACAACTGGTACACCACATAACAATAGAAGGCATCATGCAAACTTAAGAAATCCCTATGAAAACTATAGATGTTATCGATGCAAAGAGTGGGGACACATTAGAAAGATGTGCCGTAGAATCAAGAGGGGAAGACAAAGAAGTCCTAGAGTCAAGCAGATATGGGTGCAAAAGAATGTGGCATCGCATGCAAACTCATGTATGCGAGTGACTCCAAAGCAATGGCTATTGGATAGTGGATGCTCACATCATATGACTGGAGACAACAAAAGTTTGAAGAATATGCAGGAAATAGAGGGAGGCAGTGTCAGATTTGGAGGAGGGGCACATGGACAGATTATTGGATGTGGAACATTAAATGTCACCGGACTGCCACCTATCAAGAATGTCTGGCTAGTTAAGGGATTACAAGTAAATCTCTTAAGCATCAGTCAGATATGTGATCAAGGTTTAGAGGTGACCTTTACTCAACAAAAATGTAGAGTAAAGGACAAAAACAAGTTGGTTGTTCTAGAAGGCGACAGAACAACAGACAACTGTTATAGAGTGAGCCCCAACATCCTGTGCTACACAGCTAGTGAGAAAGATGCCAGATTGTGGCATTATAGACTCGGGCACATCAACTACAAGGATTTGGAAACTCTTTCTAACACAGGAGCTGTGAGAGGTTTACCAAAAATCACAAAGATTAAAGATGAGGTGTGCAAGCCATGCCAGCTTGGTAAACAGGTTCACTCAAGTCATCCAACGAAGACTTTCAGAACAACTCAGCAACCACTGGAATTACTTCATCTTGATCTATTCGGTCCCATGAAGACTGAAAGCATAGGAGGAAAGAGATTTGTACTTATGGTGGTGGATGACTTCACAAGATACACCTGGGTGAGTTTCTTGAAGCATAAGGATGATGCACTAGATGCCTTTGCAGCTCTATGCAACAAAGTACAAAATGAAAAGCAGCTGAAAATAAAAGGAGTCATTCGAATACGGAGTGACCATGGAGGTGAGTTTGAAAACAAGCCTTTTGAAGATTATTGTGATCAACATGGGATATGGCATGAGTTCTCTGCACCAAAGACACCACAGCAAAACGAAGTAGCTGAAAGGAAAAACAGGCATGTTCAGGAGATGGCACGAACAATGATTAATACTTTTGATCTGCCTAAGCAACTGTGGGCAGAAGCTGTTCACACAGCATGTTACACTATCAACAGAGTGTACATGAGAAGTGGGACAAAGTCAACTCCCTATGAACTGTGGAAGGGAAGAACACCAAGCATTGCTCATTTCCATATTTTTGGAGCCCGGTGTTTTGTTCTAAGAGATCGAGAGCAAAAAGGAAAGTTTGACCCCAAAAGTGATGAAGCTATTTTTGTTGGGTACTCTCCAAATAGTAAAGCTTACAACAACAAACGAACCAGGACAGTCATGGAATCTACAAATGTGATTGTTGATGATCGAATGGAGAGAAAGAACCAGGATGATCTAGAAGAGGCTCCAGCAACTGATATAACACCTGTTGAATCAGATCAAGAAGCTCAGCCAGAAGAAACACATGCAACTGAAAATGAGGAGCAAGTACCAGAGATAGCTACCGTTCCCACACATATTCAAAAGAATCATCCTCTGAAAAATGTCATCGGATCACCAATAGAAGGAATGAAGACCAGGAAAAAGGCCATAAATTTTCTTGAGATGACAAAGGCATACTACACATCAACTTCAGAACCCAGAAACATAAAAGAAGCGCTTACTGATGAAGCATGGATAAATGCAATGCATGAGGAGCTAGAACAGTTTGAAAGGAACAAGGTTTGGGAACTAGTACCAAAACCAGACAGGGTGTATGTAATAGGTACTAAGTGGATCTACAGGAACAAAACCGATGAAGAAGGAAATGTCATAAGAAACAAGGCAAGACTGGTGGCTCGGGGTTACACCCAAGTAGAAGGAGTAGATTTTGAAGAAACGTTTGCACCAGTAGCACGACTGGAGTCCATAAGAATGCTTATCAGTCTAGCATGCATACTCAATATGAAACTATATCAGATGGACGTAAAGACAGCCTTCTTAAACGGGTACCTAAAAGAAGAAGTGTATGTGGCTCAACCCAAGGGTTTTGTTGATCAAGAACATCCTGAACATGTATACAAACTAAGGAAGGCGCTCTATGGGCTAAAACAAGCACCTCGAGCATGGTATGAGAGACTCACATCATATCTGCTGAGAGAAGGATACAACAGAGGTGGTGCAGACAACACTATGTTCTACAAAAGGTATGACTCAGACATCCTGATAGCTCAAATATATGTTGATGATATTGTGTTTGGATCAACTTCAACGACACAGGTTAACCAGTTTGTCAAAGTCATGGAGACAGAATTCGAAATGAGTATGATAGGAGAGCTAACCTTCTTCCTAGGACTACAAATCAAACAAACTGCTGAAGGAATATTTGTTTCTCAAACAAAGTATGCACAAAACATGCTGAAAAAGTTCGACATGAGTGACTGTAAAAGTGCTCGAACACCCTGTCCAACACATGAGAAGCTTTGCAGAGATGACCAAGGAAGAGAAGTGGACCCTACCAAATACAGAGGGATGATAGGAAGCCTACTGTACCTAACAGCCAGCAGGCCGGATATATGCTACAGTGTAGGAGTTTGTGCAAGATATCAGGCAAATCCCAAAGAATCACATCTCAAGGCAGTAAAAAGAATTTTGAAGTATATCAAAGGGACACAAAATCTGGGGTTGTGGTACGTCAAAGGTGGTACAGCAAACCTCACAGGCTACAGTGATGCTGACTGGGCAGGAAACATAGATGAAAGAAAAAGTACTTCAGGAGGGTGTTTTCTTCTTGGAGGAAATCTAGTAGCATGGATAAGCAAGAAACAAAACTCAGTGTCTCTGTCAACTGCTGAAGCAGAATACATAGCGGCTGGGAGCTGTTGCGCACAATTATTGTGGATGAAGTCAATGCTAGCAGATTATGGTATTAGTCATGGCACAATACCTCTTTACTGTGACAATACAAGTGCAATCAGTATTTCAAAAATTCCTGTCTTACATTCACGTACCAAGCACATCGATATAAAACATCACTTCATACGTGAACTGGTGGAAAATAAGACGGTGGTTTTGGAACATATTCCAACAGAGGAACAACTTGCACACATCTTTACTAAGGCACTGGATGGAAATAGGTTTGAGAAGCTCAGGTCAGATCTGGGCCTTTGTGCTCCCTTCTAAATTTTCATTCACACGTGGACACTTAAAAGCCAGCTCAGAGTGTACACGTCATCTTATTTGCTGGAAGCTTAGAAATGAGAAGGAATATAATGGGGCACACTTTAAAGATAATCTGATCATCATCGCGCACACTACTCAAAGGTGCCGTATTGTTCTCAAGAAACGGAAAGGGCACAATAACACCTTTCTGAATTGAGAAAAGGAAAAAGCTACTCGTGGGCAGCGCCATTTACTCTCGTCTTCTCCAAGCACAAACCCTAACTCTCTGCACGAAATTTGCTCGGCAACAATGGTGAGAAGCAAGATAGCTATACCACAGAAGTTCAATCGCTCTAAAGGCTCCAAACCGCAGCCCTCTTGGTTCAAGAAGTATTGCCAAGTCCGAAAGAAACTTCAAGAAACAAGAGAGGACGAGGTACCAGTGGTGAATCCTGGGTCTCCAGCAAGTATCCCTCACATGCAGCAGCAAGAAGATGATGTAGCACATCTTCTACCTTCAGATCTACCACAGATGCTGCTCATTGAATATCACAAGCCAGAGGAGGAAGCAGAGACCGCTGAAGTGCCGAAATCTGAGCCAGCACCACCCACCGATGAGCCAACTCAGCCTCCACCAGATGCGCCAGTTCAAGAAGATGAAGAGTTCATTCAACTCTTGGATGAAGATCCTCTTGTTGCAGTCTCAGAAGTCCCTTTTCAGAAAGAACCTGCAGCAAAGAAGGGCAAAAAGAAAGTGATTCCCAGCACAGTTCCTCAACGAAGATCTAAGAGAAAATTGAAGTTGGAGGAAGACTCAAGTTTAGAAGCACCACCCCAGAAGAAGCAGTCTACCCCTATGAGTTCTGCAGCAGATGTCACACCGGTGGTAAAAACAGGAAAGTCTCCTCACTCTCGCTTTGTTTCCTCAAAAGCTAGATCTCTTTTCAGTAGTGTGCACAAGAAATCTATTATTGTTCAAAGAAGAATTGATGTGGAAGATTTTAAACTCAAGACCAATCTGATTCCCCTCCTTGAAAAATCCAAATTGATGAAATCTGTCACTCTCCAAGGGTCATTTGTGAAATCGGTAATCTGCAAGTTCTACTGCAACCTAACTGAATCTTGTGCTGATCCTGCTGACCCCATGTTTCATAAGGTGTTTTTGCATGGAAAAACTTATAAACTCTCCCCTGCTCTTATCAATACCTTGCTTGATCTTTCCCCTAGCAAAAGGGATACCAAAATCTCAGAAAAGATCATGTGGCTGGACCTGACAAATGGACAAAGAGCCTCTCAGTCCAGCAAAGCAAAAATTTCCTCCTCAATACTTAAAAGCTCCTATGCTATCTTACTCAGGGTTGCAGCTCTTCACTGGCTTCCTACTACACACACCAATACTGTTTCCAAGATTATGGCCAGACTCCTCTACACAATTAAGCACAACATTCCTTTTGACCTAGGGCAACTAATCTTTGATCAGATAATGCTCTTTGCAGCTGAGAAATACAAGGTCAACTCCATTGGGCTTCCCTATCCAACACTTCTGTACAGTCTACTGGTCTCACAGGGGTTCAGCAAAGAAGAAGAAGAGGAGGAAGAACTTGAAGAGTCCCCACTCCAAGTAGACAGCCGGCACATGGAGGGAAAGCATCACAATGACATGGAGGTTGCTGTTCCAACAACTGAAAAAGACAAGAAGACACCCTCCTTGGTGAAATTTTTGGAGCAGAAACTGATGCAGGTCAAAGAAGAGTTAGCCAGGACCTCACAGCTGAAAGAAAAACTGGAGATTGAAAAGGGTCACTTGGTGGTGTTGTTGCGCCAGGCTAGGGAGGCAATTCTAGATGAGGAGCCCACAGACTCAGAGGAGGAGATTCTTGGAAGCATGCCTTCTGATGAACAGGGAAGTCACACTGAGGGGGAGAGTGAGGAAGGGAACTCAGCTTGATCTGATTATGTACTCACAAAAATCTGTTTCTTTGATGGCACTTGTTGTTTTTGAGGTTGTGTTTGCCTCTGGACTATCAGGAGTATGTGTTTTGCTCACTTATGACTTGCTTGTGGATTTCACTGGTTTGTTTGGGTTTGATGCTGTTGGATTTGCTTTATGGTTCTTGTGCCATGTTCTATTGCTCAGTATGATCTATGCTTGCTCTTATGCACTTCATTCTCAAGTTTATATTATGCACAAGGGTCTAGTGACGGATGTAGGTACAGCTCTGTGTTACACTCTTTAGGTATTCTATGTCATAGTGTACCTACTCTTGATCGGTTGAATATTACTCTTCAAATCTTTGCCCCAAATTTTTCAATAAAACTTGGCATTTTTTTTGTGCAAAAAAGGGGGAGAAGAGGTTCAACACGGCTGATTAGTGGTTTTTGTCAAAAATTGCCAAAGGAGGAGATTGTTGGTTCCTTGGGTGTGTCTTAGCCTCTTTGTCATAGGTGTTGGCTTTATTTTTGACAAAAACCAGTATAGTTGTTTTTTAGTACTCAGTTTGTTCTAGCTATGTGTTTTATAGAGCTGTAGCATCCTGTCCGTCACACACACAGTCTTTGAACTTCTGGACTTCTTCAATTAAAGACAGACTGCGGCTCACCAAGCTGGAGAAGAACTCTATCAACAAAAGGTTACTGCAGTTCACGAAACTAAAGAAGATAAGTACGGTATCAGAAGGAAATAATAACAAGGACTCTACCCGATAAGC